ACGTCGGACAGTGTAAGATATGACAAAATAATAATTTATAAATTATCAAGGTTCATGAGGGAGGGGTGAGTGGGGAGGAAGGGAGGGAGAAAAATGAGGTGCTGATGCCAGGGGCTTATGTGGAGAGCAAATGTTTTGAGGATGATGAGGGTAACGAATGTACAAATGTGCTTTACACAATTGATGCATGTATGGACTGTGATGAGTTGTTATGAGCCCCCAATAAAATGATTTTCTAAATGGTGGTAATACAAGGAAACAGTATCATCATGTTGGGAACCTTGGAAGGACTATGAGTGAAGACTGGGCGGCAAAGAAATCAATTGCTTTTACACATCCCTTCTCCAAAGGGCCTGTTTGACTACAATGTTAAAATAAGGCTATGTACATTTTTTCATATATTTTTTGTTAAATACTTGATATGTAAACTATTCTGCACATTCATATACAGTTTTCCAAAATTATTGAATGCCATTCCCAAGTGCCAACCACTGTTTTAGAGACAAGGAATGTAAGAATGAACAACCTTTCCCTCATGGAATTTACATTTAGCTTAATCAAATCTTGCCTTGGCCTAACCTCTCTTTGCTCCAGCCAAAGAGATACCAAGAAACCCTAAAAAGAAAGCAATTATCAATAAAAATATTTTACCTCAACAAATGCTCCATTTTTCTTTTTCAAAGTTATAGCAGATAAGACATTTAACCAAAAAACTTCTAGAAGTACAGACTTAAATAATTCTTATTCTTATAAATGTAGCCCTACTAGACTCATTAAACTTAATAAATTCAAATTCCTAACTTCTTAGAATTTAAAATAATTCATTAAGAAGTTTCCACAGCTTTCTAATGAAGTATTCTACTCATACATTTTCAGCCAGTTGATGTTTTCTGAAAATCTATGAAATTACTTCAACTTTCCCACCACTTGTCTGCAGTTTGTCATACTTGTATGTTGCTATGACGCTGGAAGCTTATGTCACTGGTATTTCAAATGCCAGCAGGGTCAACGTGAACATGTTTTAGCGGAGCTTCCTGTGGCTCCCCACTTCAGAGGAAGAAGCCACTGAAAACCATATGCATGCTTCTGAAGCATTTTCACATGCTGAAAGCCTGAACAAAGGAAGCAAAATATTGTAGGAGACACTGCCCAAAGATGGGTCTTCAGAGGTCTGAGGGGACTCAAATTGTGACTGAAGAGAGGATTTTTTTGAAGGAGAGTAGACCATGGTGAAACTGCGTTGGATAAAGCCTGTGGGAATGGAACCTTGGGGATCTTCATTTGTCAGTGGGGCATGACTCAAGGTAAAGAGAAAAAAACTGAAAAACTCTCTCAATGTTTGGATGTTGGAATGTACAAATATGAATTTAGGAAAATTGGAGGGGGTTAAAAATGAAATAGAACACATAAAGATCGATATCCTAGGCATTAGTGAATTAAAATGGACTGGTATTGACCATTTTGAATCAGCAAATTATATGATTTACTATTTTGGGAATAAGACAATCAAGTGGAATGGCATGGTATTCATTGTCAGAAGGGATCTTGTTAAATCCATCATGAAGTACAATGCGATTTGTGATCGGATTATATCTATCCACCTTCAAAGAAGTCCAATCAATACAACTATTATTCAATTTTATGCATCAGCCACAAAAGCTAGTGCTGAAGAAATTTAAGAAGCAACCAATGACTGCAGTTGGAAATTGATCAAACATGCAATCAGGATGCATTAATAGTTACTGGTGACTGAAATGCAAAAGTTTGAAACAAAGAAGGGGCAATAGTTGGAAAATATGGACTCGGTGATAGGAATTAAGCTGGAAATCACATGATAGAATTTTATAAAACCAAAGATTTGTTCACAGAAAATATCTTTTTTCAACAACAGAAAAGGTGACTGTACACATAGACTTCCCCAGATGGAGTACACAGAAATCAAACTGACTACATCTGTGAGGAGACATAACGGAGAACAAATGTTCTCCCACTGTGGATCTGTCCCACTGTGGAACAGATCATCAGTTGCTCATTTATATTCAAAGATAAAGCTAAAGAAAATTAAAACAAGTCTACAGGAGCCAAAATACGACCTTGAGTCTATCCCACCTGAATTTCAGGAAGATTTGACACAATGAACACTAATAACAGAAGACCTGAAGAACTGTGGAAGGACATCAGACCACCATTCATGAAGAAACAAAAGGTTATTAAAAAGAAAGGAATGATCAAAGTGGATGTCAAAAGAGACTCTGAAACTTATATTCATCATAGACTAGCTAAAGCAAGTGGAAGAAAGGATGAATTCAAGGAGCTGAAACAATTTCAAAGGGCAGCTTGAGAAGACAAAGCCAAATATTATAAGGAAATGTGCAAAGACCTAGAATTAGAAAATCAAAAGGGAGAAACACATTCAGAATATATGAAACTGAAAGAACTCAGAAAAATTTAAGCCTCGAGTTGAAATATTGAAAGGTTCTATAGGCAAAATATTGAGTGGTGCAGGAAGCAGCATCAAGAGAAGATGGAAAGAATACAGAGTCACTGTATCAGAAAGAACTAGTCAACAGTGCGCCATTTCAGTAGATAGTATATAAGAACCAATGGTGCTGAAGGAAGAAGTTCAAACTGCACTGAATGCATTAGCCAAAAACAAGTCTCCTGGACTTGACAGAGTACCCATTGAAATGTTTCAGAAAGTGGAAGAGAGGTGACCCAACACAATGTTCAATCTATAGAACGATATCATTGATATTGCACACAAATAAAATTTTGCTTAAGATCATCCAACAACGGGTCGCAGCAATACATTAATGCTGCCAGAAGTTCATTTAAGATTTAGAAGAAAATATGGAACAAGGGATATCATTGCTGATGTCAGATGGATCTTGGCTGAAAGCAGAGATACCAGAAAGATGTGTACTCCTGTTTCCTTTACTATGCAAAGGCATCGGACTGTGTGGACCATCACAGACTGTGGATGACCTTGAGAAGAGGGGAATTCTGGAACACTTCATTGGGCGCATTCAGAACTTGTACACAGATCAAGAGGCAGTAGTGTGAACAGATCAAGAAAATATTGCATGGTATAATATCAGCAAAGGTGAACATTGGGTTGTATCCTCGCCATACTTGTTCAATCTATATGCTGAGCAAATCAACAGAGAAGCTGGTTTATATGAAGAAGAGTGTAACATCAAGATTGGAGGAAGGCTTATTAACAACCTGTGGTATGCAGATGACACAACCTTGCTTGCTGAAACTGAGGAGGAATTAAAGCACTTGCTGATGAAGATCAAGGAATGCAGCCTTCAGTATAGATTATAACTCAATGTAAGGAAGACCAAAATCCTCACAATTGGACCAAGAGGTAGCATCATAATAAATGGAGAAGAGATTGAAATTGTCAGGGATTTTCTCTTACTTGGATCCAACAAAAAAAGTTCATGGAAGCAGCAGTCAAGAGGTATTGCATTAGGTAAATCTGCTGCACAAGACCTCTTAAGGTGTGCCTGGCCAAAGTCATGGTATTTTCAATTGCATCACACGCGTGTGAAAGTTGGACACTGAGTAGTAAGACTGTAGAAGAATTGATGCCTTTGAATTGTGTTTGGTGCTGCAGGAGAATCTTTTTTTTCTTTTTGCATAAGAATCTTGAAAGTACCATAGACCGCTAAAAGGACAGACCAATCTGTACAGAAAGAGAGGCAAGGATGGCAAGACACTGTCTTACATACTTTGGATATAGTGTCAGGAGAGACCAGTGTTTGGAGAAGGACATCATGCTTGGTAAAATGGATGGTGGCAAAACAGAGGACGGCCCTCTATGAGATGGATTGACACAGCGCTGCATCAATGAGCGCATAGGGCCACTTTGGGTCACAGCAAACTTGGTGACACCTAACAACAACCTCCACCTTCCCGTTTCTCAACATAACCCACCAGAACCAAAATCACCTGAAGAGCTTGTTATAAATACAGGTTTATCTCACTCCAGACAAAATTACTCAATCTCTGGGGACCGGGCTAGGAAGTTGCATTTGCAACAGGTTCCCAGGTGAATTTAATGTACAAATTCAAGAATGACCGCTGAAGACTTGTCATAAATGTAAGTTCCATGAACAACAACAAACAAACTAAAAAACAATGCCATCAAGTCGATTCTGGCCCCTAGCAACCAATTAGAACAAAACAGAATTTCTCTTTGGGTATGTGAGGCTAGAAATCTTTCTGGGAGCAGAAAGCCTCATCTTTCTCTGGCAGACCAACTGTGGACTTAAGTTTGTTGACCCTGTGGTTCGCAGCCTAACTTAGAATCCCCTATACTACCAGGGATCCTTTAAGTTCCACAGAACAGTAATATTTTTTGAACCAAGTAATATCTAATATATATATCTACATTTAGTGTACTCCTTTGAGAAAAATCTGATGAACTTATAGTTTTGATTATGAGATTACAATCTCATCTTTAATTTCAGTTAATAATGACCTTAAAATACAACTGCTACTACTACAGATACTGAAAAAAAATGTTCAACTTCATTAATAAAGTCAATTGAGGAAAAACATTCTATGGCCTCACTAATATGAAATAAGCAAATACATAGAACACAAAAAATATTATAGCTTACTAAGGGTGGGGGTGAGGTACTGGGCTGATGTTAATGGTGTTAGAATCATTTTAAAAGATAGAGAGAATGCTTTCATAATCTGAATATACTCAATGTCACTGAATTATGCATGTAAAAATCGTAAAAAGGCATATATTTTGTTGTGTAATTTTCACTACAAAGAAAATAAAACCAACCTTTTAAAAAATAATAAATTTTAAAGTAGTAAGCCTCCCATGAACCCTTTATGACCACAGACCAGGGATGTGTACAGGCTTGCTATCGTGCAGAGCGCATTGGAAAGTGGATTATTGCAGCTGCAGTTAGGTTACAATTCAACTATCATTTGATCTCCCTTTTGACTCATTTTAAATTTGTTCTAGTTTTTAATGTTTTCTGCTTTCTTTTCAATTGAGGCTTTTCTATTTTACCCTGTTAATTGTTGTTGGGTTTTCTGTAGTTCTTTTTGTGCCTATTTTTTTGTATATGTAATCCAGGATAGGTATATCTATAGAGGCTGTTGGGAAATGGGGAGTTAATAACAATGAGTACAAGAAAGAAAAAAATGTTCTAAACTTGACTGTGGTGATGAATGTAAAATTCTTTTCAATATGACTGAACTATTAAAATGTATGATATGTGAATCCTATGTCAATAAAACTTACAAAAAAATTTTTTAAGTGTTTTATGCCTCACTACCTATAATGGAAAACTAACTGTGCAATAGAGAAAGCTATAAACGAACTACAGCTATATGCTTAGCAATATTAACCTCAAAACCTTAATGTTATGAAACAAGCAAGTTCCTAAAGAATCCATACAGTATAAAATCATGTTTATAATGTTCAAAAACCTATTTTAAAAAATAGTCTATAGTTATGTGTATATAATCAGGCTATTAATAAAAGCAAGAAAATGGTAACATCAAGCATCACCATAAGAAAGAACATGCTATTGGTAAGGGTACACATGATTTTATGTATGGGGGCCATCTTCTATTTGTTAGATGAATGAAAAAAAAATGCAGGGGTGGATGTTATATTTTAATACTTAATATAAACAGATGTGTGTCTGAAATATTTTATAATCACTTCAAATATATTTATATGTGAACAAAACCATAAGGAAATACACAGAATATAAATTTTATATTAGCACAATGTAATTGTGTTTCCTCATGTTAACACTTCTTTTATGACACATACTATTTTCTAAAGGTTTTATAATCCTATGGCAAGACTTACCTGATCAGTAAGCAAAAGCTGATTTCCTCCTTGATACAAAGTTTCACAAAGCACATCCACTCCATTATTCAGTTTAGACAGAAAGAAAGAATGTTCTTTAACAGATATTGCCAACTGATCTCGTAATACAGAAATATCCAGTTTTAGTTTCTCAGCAGCTTCCTCCAGGCTTCCGTGGGTTCTGAACAGTTCTTTTTGTTTATTCTCTCCTTCTAGAAGTTGGTAGAGTCTAAAATGTGAAAATAAAAATTACTGGAAAATATTCCCAACTCAGAAGTTTACAAAATTATAATCCACTGTATTGTAATTAGGTGATATTTGGAAATAGCTAAATAACACAAGAATCTGTCGGCTGCTGAACCAAGGAACTGGAACGATTCCAACTATACTATATCAGTACAGAAATATATATACATCCTAAATTATGCAAATCAATGTCCAGTTCCCTCATACCCAAAATTTTATATATATAATTTGTCTTTAATTTCCACAAACTTACATATACTTAAAATCGTGTTCCAGAGAGATCACTCACACACATACAACCTAAGTCAAAGTTCTGATTCTACTTCATGTGACTCAGGGCAAATCAGTCTCTGAGGCTCAATATTCTCACCTTAAAATAACTATCTATCTCACAAGATTGGGGTGGGGTGAAATGAAAATATAAAAAAGGAAACCATGAAGAAACTACAAAATTAATGATAATAAATGGCTGCTATTTCAATCTTCTTGTACATGAGACTTCAGAAAGCTTATAGAAAATGGAATGGAAAGATAATGGAATTTTTCTATAAACTTTTATACCCCTTTGTATTTGGCTGACAAATCTTGATGAGCCATAAGGCCGCTTTAAAATCTCACCATTAATAGCAGGAAAACGCTCTTATCCAATGAAACAAATAGAAAAATGACAGGAAAATGTGAGGAAGCACATTAGAAGTGTTTTTGTTTTTCAACAAGTTGCAAGACTTCATAAAACTGGTCCAAGGTCAAGGTTACTAATTATGGCCCTGTGGCATAGGACTACACAATTCTAGGAGGCACCATTCACATAGCACGTGATACCAATGGTACTCCCTGAAATTGAATAATGAGACAGACCCTAGTCAAGCCCCTCATCTTCTTACAAGGGAAAAAAGGATTAAATGATTCTATTGTAGGTCCTAGGTAAATACTTGGAATAGGTTACTGATTTTTCAGGCCTTACACTCAGTACCCATGTGCCAGCAATTTTTCAGACTTAGAGGAAAGAGCTGGGAAGTAGGAATCATTTTCACCAAGTCATCTGACAAAACAGGGAAAAAAAGTACCTCTCGACTGGCACCTTTTCCAAGGACCGTCTGTCTCCTGCCCAGCCATACCCACTATCTCAAGCAGTAGCTGCTAAATTTCTGACCCAAATCTAAAATAAGCACCCAAATAATACTGACCCAAATCTAAAATAAGCACCCAAATAATAGTGCCTAAAGGGATTTGAGGCTACCATGAGTCTAAACTAATTCAAGAGCAAAAAATTTGGAAAAAAAAAGACTCTATACACACACACACACACACACACACACACACACAATCTTCCTTCTAGAATCAAACATGAATGGAAAAAGAGAACAAAAACTTAAAAAGAGAAACAAGGCATATAGAGGTGAAAAAATAGAATTTAAAAGCCAAAATAGAAGTGCAAAGAATCTGTTAAATTTCCACAATTTTAGAAATCCATTATTCTACAAACACAGAAGAAAAAAGAATACTTAGGAAATGATGAAGTATACCTATGAGTGGAATGATCGTTGGTATCGATAGTATTTCTTGGGTTTATCTGCTGAGATACTGATGGGTCTTTTATCATTTCTAAGCGCTGGTGTAGCATCTTGTTACTTTGACTTAGTTCCTGAACCAAATTATCAAGTTGACGAAATATGTCCCCATGTCTTCTCAATTCAATTTCATACGCTAAATGTAGAAGTTCAAATGACGCCTTTTGTCTTATCAACTGATTTAAAACTAACTCTTGTCTTGCTGTATAACAGTCTTGTTTAGCAATCTGGAGATCAAAATCCCCCTTTACAACTGGCATATTCAATAATTGAGCATTCTCCTTTACCACAGCAGGCAAACTTTTGTTTTTCATATGACTGATTTGTTCTTCAAGTTTCAGAATCTCACTGTTCAAGCTGGAAATTTTAGCATCCAAATTTTCTTTTCCAACAGCCTAAACAAAGAAAACAATTACATTTCAAACTATAGATATAAACCTGAAATAGTTTTAAATTTATTTTCACTGTCCATCGTAGATTAGATAGTATTTCCAATGAATAAAAATTGATTTTAAATGATCATCAGCCCAAATACCAGAAAGATGAATGTACTATTATGAACACTTTCAAATCAAATTAAATAAGAAAAAATGTGGACTGAGTGAACTACTAAATTTTAATGCTATTACCATAAATAAGGTTCTTGGGTGGCAAAAGCAGCTTGCACTGGACCCCAAACTAAAAACTGGCAGTTCAAACCTTCCATCAGACCACAGAAGAAGGACCGGTTACTTGCTTCTGTAAAAATTACAGCCAGGAAAACGCTATGGAACAGCTCGATTGTGTAATAATAAATGGGACCACCATGAGTGGAAGATCTGACAAGATGTATGTTTTGTTGTGACTATACACACACATATAAAGTAAATGCTAACAAAATAGAGCTCTTGTCATATTTGTTTTTTACTTAGTGAAACTGTTATCAGCACAAGTACTCACTGAATGCAAACAAATCTTGGTTAAGTTTATCATAAAGTTAAAATAAAATTAGTCCTGAAGTTGTTCTTTTAGTCAGCTGATCTTAGCACTTGAGTAGAATTATAGGACTTCTTATATTATTCCAAAGGTCTCATCATTTACAGTAATTAACTTAGTGATGGTGGTCAGTTTCAGAAGAGTTACATAAAGTGACTTCCAAAAGTTGGTAGGAAAACTCCATTATCTTTCAATTCCACCACCCACTCAACCCCACGCCCTGAACTTTTTGAAGACTCTTCCTATGTCAAGGCAACTATGTAACGGTTACATTACCAAGAAACCAAGCTTTCCAAGAGAACATAGATAGCTACAAAATACCTGTCCAGTCTAAATGAGGAATCGGGGTTCCAGTGTACTTTACTTAACTTGGACCTCTGACTGAATCAGAACCAAGTTCTGGTCAGGACAGACAGGAAAATCCCCACAGCACAACCAAAAGGCTAGTGACTCATCCATCACTACAAAAGGACATTCCAGTTCTGCCTGCATCTGAATTAACAGAAATTTCAAATTCAGACAGCAAATTCCTTTTGTTAAAATGTACTCAGTAATCTGTAATCTGTGTTGCATGTTATTCATTTTTCTGCTTTCCATCCATTTAAAGATTTCTCTATTTAATAGAGGCCTACTCCAGCTAAGTCCTAATCAAAGAGAAAACAAGACAACATAGTTACTTTCAAATATCTATACCTCAATAACAATAGTATATCCTAACAACAATCGCACCACCAATCCCTCTAGTTTCATGCACTCACCTTGCTGGTTAAGACAGGAAGGTTCTCCTCAGTCCATTTTACACTTGATTTGAGGCCCAAATTGCTTGCTTTCAAGTGAATTAACTGATGTTGAGCACAAATGTATGCCAGCTGCAGCCTCACCAGCTCTAGCCGTCTCTCCTCAAGGATTTCTGGGTTATCACAAATAGATGGTGCCTGTATATCCAACAGTTGAAAATGTTCTTCATTTGAACTTTCCACTACTTCATGTATACCTGGGAAGAACTGTTGTTTGGTATATAAGGTCAGTGCTGCCGTGCTGTGCTCTTCTTGGCTTAGGTATTTTTCCAAGGAAAACTGGGATAAAAACACCAGTAGGTTTGTCCCTTGCCCTCCATCAGGAGGTTTGTAGAACATCATCAATTTTGCAACTCCATCTGTAAGTGCCTGAAGTTCCTTACTGATTTTTGTGTTCACTGCATTTAGAATTCCTTGACTCTGCTTCAGCTTTTTCATGGCCGCTTCTCCGGTAGCGTGGAGCTTCAGAGGCTTGTGGCTCACCACCGAAGCCCTCAGCTGGCATTGATTCCGCCGCTGAATTCTGAGGTTCTTTAATTTCTGCAACACTTGAACCTCCTCCTCCAATTTCTCCAGCTCTTTGCCATCCACTCGAGGTTTCTTCAGATCCAAAGGCTGGCAGGTTTTAAGAACTTCATCCAGTGCTGCTTCTTCAAGGATGGGCTGACCAGATTTTTGAAGGCGGCTGAAGGCTTGCAATTCTTCTTCAGACAATACGTTCTGTTCACTCACAGTTCCACAAAACCACTTCAAAAAGGACTCGTCTTCAGCACTCTCAAACAACCAGTCAAAGTCTCCTCCATTTAGTGTATCAGCCTTGGGATAGCCAATTTTTTTTAAGACTTCCACGAACTCATGTCCACAACTCATGGTTTAACTACCCCAATTTTTAAAGAACAGATACTGATTGACTTGATGGTGTTAAGGCTTAGAAAGCAAATATCAAAACTAAGCTTACATTAAGTCCACAGAGAAAGGGGAAAAATATTTTTAGAATTTTTAAATCTTTTACCTAGGAGGGAGGGAAAAAACAAGTATTAGACCACACAATAAGGCCAATGCATTTTTTTTATGTACAAGAGTGTCACATGATATCTGGGAACCATCTAACTGAAATGTCTGATGAAGAAGAGCAACGTGGGCCTTGGGCTGCTAACTCCAAGATCAGCAGCTTGAACCACCCACCACTCTGTGGGAGAAAGATGCGGCTTTCTACTCTTGCAAAAAGTTACCGTCCCGGGAACCTGCAGGAGCAGTTCTACCCTGTCCTCTTTGGGTCGCTGTAAGTTGGAATCAACACAGATGGCTGGAGTTTGGTTTTTGGTTAGTACTCGCCGATGAGGAACACTATGGTGGTGCCGTGGGTTAAGCCTTGGGCTGCTACCTCAGACTGCCGGTCTGAATCCACGAGTGGCTCCGAGGAAGAAAGATGTGGCAGCCTGTCTTCATGAAAACACGAACTAGCTGTCCTGTTGGCTCTTGGATAAGAAACTCTAAAGATTTTCCAAAGAGCCATGGGTCTTAAACGACATGCCATTTCCCCTGAACAGTTCAGCTTTCCATTAAAAGCGGGTGATTTCCAAACCAATCCAAGCCGGACCGTGGCCCATGGGCATCTCTCCCTGCCCGCCTAACTCAGAAAATGGACCTAAATATGGCCTTAAAAAAAATTTTTTTTAAAGGTATTTACTTCAGTGACTCCATGATCCCCTGTCCCTCTCCATACACACCCAAGAAAATCAATGTCGAGATCCGAAAGACCTAAACCCACTGTCGGCCAGTGGAGCCCGACCCCCGACAGCACGGCGTGAGCTGCGCGCACCGGCTTTCAGTAAAGACGTCTTCCCGGGCGCAGAGCGGCTGGCGGGTCTCAACGACCACCTCTCGGTTAGCATCCCAAAGCTGAAACCAGTGCGCCACCCGACCCCCTCCGAAGGTGAGCCTCAGAGAGGTAAGCCGCCGAGTCAACACTCCTCAGGAGCAACGCCGAAGGCTGACCAGAGACTCGGGGCCGAATCTGGTGGGGCTCGCCTCGCGGGCGTCAAACACGTTCTCCCGCGCCGGGCTCCCCGCGTCGCGCCGACACCCAGAGCTCCCGTCCGCCGACTCGGGACCCTCGC